CCTTGCTCTACCACGGAGAGCAGTGCGGGGCAGTGAAGTGGCTACCACAGCCACCCCACTTCACGCCTACAACCTGCCTCGCGGGTTCTAAGAGGCAGGGACATGGGCCTCGACCCTCCGGCTTTCTGATGGCTTGCCCTCCGCATGGCCCTCCCTGTCAGCAGCCTCCCCATCCACCGGCCCAAGGACCAGGGCCGCAAAGGCTCGGAACAGGTGCGTGCCTTGCTGGCTCCACCCAGGCACGCTCAGGGAGCTCTGGGTCTGGGGGCATGGGGGGGTTACGGGGCTCAGCCTGGACGCCACAGGGAGGACCAGTATGCTTCCTGTCCCTCGGGTCACTGGGAGCCCAGGAAGAGCGAGCCGGGCAGGCCATGCAGGGTGTGCACAGGGCCTGGCATGTCTGTGGCAGCAGCACGCCCAGCCTGCCGAGGCCTGTGCTGAAGAACAGTGTCCTGACAGCACAGGCAGGCACCGCGTGGCGGCAGGTTTGGAGGCTGCCTTCTGCCCACGGTTCGAAATGCACACTTGGTGCCCAGCCTTCGCTGTGCTGGGCGCTTCCCTCACCTTCTCCCAAGGCCTGCCCCATCGTGTGACCCTCACACCCTCTGAGGCCCCGGGCAGGGGTGGGGCGCGGTAACAGCTCGTGCAGGAGCCTGGACCCACAGCAGGCCAGCAGCAGTGGCGGCAAACACCTCCCCACGGCAAGGGCGGAGGACACCGTCCCCTGGGGTGCCACTCAGGGGAGCCTCGAGCTCAACTGCCATGACGTGGCCTCCATGGAGCCCCTCCCTGATGGCCTCGGCCACAGGCGGGCGTAGAGGGTGCCTGGGTCTTGGGTGGGAGGTGGTCTGAGCAGGCCCTGGGGGCCTCTAACTGCCCTCCAGGGTGGGTGTGGCTGGACCCCCAGGACAACCTATAGTGTACCCCCCTCTGGCCTCACCACGTGGCTCTAGCAGGCCTCACCTCAACCGCCCCCGAGGACGAGCTTGGGCCCTCCACGCTGCCAACCTGCTCGCGAGAGCACCGAGGCCGGGGTGGGTCGTGCCCTGTTCTATGCCTCCAGCCTGATTCCCAACACAGTGCTGGGAGCACACCAGGGGGCGCCAAGTGGAGCCCCAGACTCCCCCAGACCACAGCGAGTGGGGCAGCAGTGCGGCTAATTCTGAAGCAGAGGCCAGTGAGGAAGGCGAGTCTAAATCCGTGGGCACGGCTGCAGGGCGAGGCCTGCCAGAGCCCCGACGGCCTGGCCAAGAGGCAGGGGTGAGGGTACCAGGCCCTCCCTGGACACTGACCTTCAGGGCGCTGTGGGACGTGCCGCTGGGCCGCCTCCGCCCGCCGTCCTCCAGCTGCATCTCGGAGTAGAGCTCCTCCTCGTCCTCCTCCATGATGTCGGAAAGGTCGGAGCCCCGGCTGCTCTCTGTGTGGTACTCGTCTCCGTGGCAACAGTGGGGCTGCGGCCAGGAGACGAGGAAGCTGCTGGAGACGGCCTCTCAGCCCCACGTGGCACCCTCGGGCTGCCCGGGCAGCCCCTGCTCAGCCCCTTTGCCATCTGTGCTGACGCGGAGAAGTGTGTGTGCCACTCACGTCAGCGGTGCGGGCAGGAGGCCTGGGCAGAACACGCACCACCCAGCCACGTGTGGAGCTGGGACGTGCAGACAGGCCAGCACAGGTCTCCCGTGCCCGAAAGGCAGGGGAACACCTGGACTCTGCCCAAGACCCACGGATTTGTAAGACACGCGGGCAAGATGCCCCTTCCCAGGCGCCTCCGGCTTCTCCAACTTACTGGCTGCGTAGTCTCACGGCACGGGCCGTGAACTCGGGTGGCAGCAGGGGCAGAGGCCCGTGTGCACATGGGTCTGGCACCATGCAGCGGTGTACGTACACCTGGAAAGGTGCTCGTTCCAAACATCCCCGTGTAGAGGCCAGCGGGGGGTAAGGCACTGGACCCCGCATGGCCAACTCCTTATCAAGTCCTGGACCCAGCTGGAAAAGTCCGCCAGGCACATGTGCATGCACGCCTAAACCCCCCAAACAGAGAGGGCGTTGCAGCGTGGCCAGGGGTGATCTCTCACTTTCCCTCTCCTCTACCTCGCTTGCTCTCTCTGGCAAACACATGCACTCTATGGTAAAAAACAAAATCTAAAATTTAATTTTAAAAATGTTAAAGACCATCTAGTCCAGAATCCACACTCAGACACAGACATCAGCGGGCAGTGTGGTCTGGGCAGGACGTGGGCCTCACGTGGGATGTGTTTACTCTGAGCCCAACCCGGCCCCTCACAATAGATGGGGATTGGGCAGATGGGGGATGGCTCGCAGAGAAGGCGGAGGGTGGTGGCCGTGACACAACCCCGCCATGGCCTGCAGCCACGGCGGGGGGGCCTCTGTTCAGCAGCCATGTTTACAGCCAGGCACTGCGGCGCGGGCCGCTGCACGCCGACTTGCGAGTGTCACACACCCACAGGTCGCTCCGCTATGTGGTGCCCATCAAGGACGGCCTCCTCACCTGGCCAGCAGGTGGCAAGGCAGTGAACTCAAGGGCCCTCCAGTCTCAACGACTAACCTTCTGGAGATGCGCAAGCCCTCCAGGTGCAGTGAGTCCTAGTTCGTGCCACCACCCACCTCAGCCACCAGCCCCACGCCGTGGGCACAGCACCCTGTCCTCAGGGGTCTCTGGCTGCAAACTCGAAACCTCGTGCGGGCCAGCCTCACAGGGTACTGCACCTTTGCCTCCCCCGAGCCCGGCACGCGGTGCCCAACGCACATCGGCAGCCACAGTTGACGTGACCAGACGAGTGGGGACTTGGGATCAGGTGGTGACCTGCGGCCTTGCCCGCGCCTGACCTACAGAGCTGCCCCATGACCACGTAGCGGAGCAGAGCACGGGGGCAGCCTTACACCACATCTGTGAGCTTGGCCTGAGTGCAGTGGGGGGGGCAGGCACTGCGGAGTATGAGCGCCCGCCAGCCCAGAAGGCTCCCGGGACTGACGTGGGCAGGTGGCGCTGCCTCTCTGAGCTCGCAGGTGCCCAGCGGAAGCCACTGCCGCACTGGCACTCACCGGCTTGCCCAGCTCCGACCCTCGCAGGAATTCGTCCACCGAGGTCCCTCTCCTGTGGACATCCGGGGAGCCGTAGCCATCCTCCTCGTCCGAGTTGGCATACTGCCCCATGCTGCCCCGCTCAAGGAAGAGACTCCTTTTCTCTAACTTAGGAGAGACAGGAAACAAGGGATGAGCTAGAGCGATATGAGAGCCCCACAGGCAGCGCCCCCTCCTTAACGGCAAGACCGGCCCCGGCAGAAAGCACACCCCAGAGACCTGGCACTGTCCGAGGCGGGGGGCGCCCACCTCAGCTGCAGACCCTCTCCCTGACCCTGGTGGGAGGCCGTTTCCCAGTGTCCTGTGCCGTCCGGAACACGGCCCGTCCACAACCCAAACAGCCCACAGCCCGGGACCCTCGAGCCATGGGCGTGCTGACGCCCACGTGCACACTTGTGACCTGTGAGCGCTTCCTCGGACAGTGCCGTGTGTGTGCCCTGAGGTCTCTGAGGCGCCTGTCCCCTCCGAGACCAAGTCTCCATCTGGTCCCCAGGTGGCCACGTTGGGGCCTCCGGAGGTGGGGCTGAGGGAACGGGTGTCCGGGCTGTGCCCTCCCACGCCTGCCCACCCGGCCAGCCTGCAGGAGCTGAGCTAGGATAGGCTCCACTCTCACAGACCGCGCACAGTTGCCATCATGGCCACCACAGACGCACCAACACGGCACGCACAGACATGCACATCTGGGTGTACGTGCACATCTGTGTGTGTGTGCGCACGTCTGCACACTCACACATAACGTCTGGGTGTGCATGCACATCTGTGTGTGTGTGTGTGTGCGCACGTCTGCACACTCACACATAACGTCTGGGTGTGCATGCACATCTGTGTGTGTGTGTGTGTGCGCACGTCTGCACACTCACACATAACGTCTGGGTGTGCATGCACATCTGTGTGTGTGTGTGTGTGCGCACGTCTGCACACTCACACATAACGTCTGGGTGTGCATGCACATCTGTGTGTGTGTGTGTGTGCGCACGTCTGCACACTCACACATAACGTCTGGGTGTGCATGCACATCTGTGTGTGTGTGTGTGTGCGCACGTCTGCACACTCACACATAACGTCTGGGTGTGCATGCACATCTGTGTGTGTGTGTGTGTGCGCACGTCTGCACACTCACACATAACGTCTGGGTGTGCATGCACATCTGTGTGTGTGTGTGTGTGCGCACGTCTGCACACTCACACATAACGTCTGGGTGTGCATGCACATCTGTGTGTGTGTGTGTGTGCGCACGTCTGCACACTCACACATAACGTCTGGGTGTGCATGCACATCTGTGTGTGTGTGTGTGTGCGCACGTCTGCACACTCACACATAACGTCTGGGTGTGCATGCACATCTGTGTGTGTGTGTGTGTGCGCACGTCTGCACACTCACACATAACGTCTGGGTGTGCATGCACATCTGTGTGTGTGTGTGTGTGCGCACGTCTGCACACTCACACATAACGTCTGGGTGTGCATGCACATCTGTGTGTGTGTGTGTGTGCGCACGTCTGCACACTCACACATAACGTCTGGGTGTGCATGCACATCTGTGTGTGTGTGTGTGTGCGCACGTCTGCACACTCACACATAACGTCTGGGTGTGCATGCACATCTGTGTGTGTGTGTGTGTGCGCACGTCTGCACACTCACACATAACGTCTGGGTGTGCATGCACATCTGTGTGTGTGTGTGTGTGCGCACGTCTGCACACTCACACATAACGTCTGGGTGTGCATGCACATCTGTGTGTGTGTGTGTGCGCGAACGTCTGCACACTCACGTAACATCTGGGTGTGCACGCACATCTGTGTGCGTGTGTCCACATGTGCATCTGCACTGCACTGCCGAGGCCCATCTCTGCACGTCTGCACACTCGCACGTAACGTCTGCAAATCTGGCCATGCATGTACACGTGCGCTGCATGCACAGCCACGGTCTTGTCTGCGTAGCTACGCGTGTACCTACGGACTTAGCTATAAGTGTGCATCTACGTGCGTACACGTCTGTGTGGCTGTGTGTGTGCTCTGTGTGCACATCAGGGAGGACAGCCACGTGCTGTCCACAGCGTGCCAACGCATGCACCTGCACATCTCTGCACACCAGCGCTAAAGGAGCAAGCCCACCAAGTGCCCCTAGGCTGACCTTGGTGGCTACTCTGAGCCCTGGATGACACTGAAGCCAGCTCTGTGGTCTTACAGCCCACGTTTCAGGCCAGGCAGGCTAGGAGCCTGCTAGCTACGTGTTCACAGGACAAAGGCACTTGCTGTTGGGTCAGGGTCAGCAGAGCATTGGGGACAGTGAGGGACACTGGGCATCCTCTCCCCGAGTCTAGCAGGGGGTGCAGCGAGCACTGGGAGCCGTTCTCCGCAGGGATGGCGGGACGCCTGTGCCCACTGAGCTGGCTGAGGGGACCTTACCCTGCTGCTCTCGGCCACCCTCTGTGCAGCCTCCCGGGCCATGGCCTTCGCGACGGAGGTGGAGACCGGGGCCCCCTGCGGCTGTGGCAGGATGCGGCTGGGTGAGGGCGACCTTCTCCCTGGCCCATCCTGCAGGCTGGGTGGCTGCAGCGTGTGTCCGTGTGCGGGGACTGGGACAGGTGCCCGGCCCTGCTCCCAGGGTTCATCCGGCCTGCTATGGGGACCCAAGTGTTCATCTTTGGTATCGGGGGCGCCGGCACTTGCTAATGGCTTGGGTATGGGAGTTCTCAGGTGGGGGGTCGGAGGCACCAGGAGGTCGAGGGGGACAGCAGCCGCGGGAGAGTCCACAGACTCGCCCTGCAGGGAGAAGGTCCGCACGGTCACCACTTTGGCCTCCAGGCTCCGCAGCCGCACAAGCTCCACAGCTGTGCTGTCCGCCGTGGGGAAGATGACTTCGGCCACCTGCAGAGGACACCAGCTGACGCCGTCCCCACACTGGATGGGGGCCGGCCAGTCCCCGACTCGGCCAGGGGTCGGGACCGTGGACACCCGGCCGAGACCACCCGCCCCACCGGGAGTGAAGCAGGCCTGCGTGGTAGGGGCAGGAGGGCTGCAGAGCCCGGGCCTGGTCAGCTCCAGATCTCGGGTGATGTGACGGAGCGGGCCCTGTGTCCTCTCCTGTCCTGACTCGGCCATCACTGCAGGGGCCTCACAGAGGCTGAACTGTGACGTGCAAGGCTGGAGAACAGGAAGGGGTCTGGGCAGAGGCCGGAGGTCCCCGGCCTGCAGAGGGCAGGGCTGTAGCCTCTCTGCAGGGGCCGGTTCTGCCGTGGGGCTCCACATGGAGGGCTGAGGTGCTGCAGGCCTGAGAAGGAGCTCGCAGACAGTGAGGCATCCTGGACACACGTCACCCTACCTGTCTTCCCACCGCCCATGCTCCTGAGGCTGGGTGGGGGAGGCAGTGGGGATGGAGCAGAAGTCTCTGGTCACGCACAAGGACGGGGCGGCTCTGCAGGCCGGTCCCCTCAAGGCATTAGGCCTCTCCCTTGTCCTGGAGGCAAGGCTGGTCCCTGTTAGCCTGCCCGCCTGCGTCTTTCCCAGAAGTCGCCTTGGGTCTTGGGAGTCGCCCCAAGCCCCAGCTGCCTCAGTGAGCCGGTCACTGAGCAGCCCTGATACTGGGGGCAGAAAGTCCCAGAGCAGGCAGGTACTCAGCGAGAGGTGCAGTAGAGAGAATGCAGGAGATGGGACAGGGACCAGGAAGGAACGGGCACCCTGGGCACTTAGACCAGGGTAGGGTGTGGGGGCATCTAGTAAGTGCTGGAATCCTAGGGGCTGAAGATGCTTCCAAAGATGTCCTTGGAAGAGCAGGCCATCCCCCTCCCCTGAGCAGACACCGGGTCGGTCCCTGCAGCCTCAGAGCCTGACACTTCCCCCAAAGACTCACTCTCTGCCCCTGGGCGTACACGCCGTAGCCGGTGACGTTGGCTCCATTGGACAGCCCGGTGGGAGTCAGCGTGGGGGGTTTCCAGGAGACCTGGACAGTGGCCGGGGCTGCCCCGGCTTGGACAAGGACGTCTTGTGGTGGGGCTGGAGGGCCTAGGAAGGGACGAACGAACGGTCAGGGCAGCAAGCAGGTGGGCTCCCTGTACTCTGCATCTCACCTGGAAACCAGAGCGTCTGTTAAAGCCATGGGCAACAGACAGAAGGCAAAGGTGGAAGTTCAGAAAGCAGAACCAGCGGATGGTGGGCAGTCTCTGGGAGGCACGTCCGCAAATCCAGCGTCCTCCACCCTCCTCAAACCCAGCATCCTGTCTGTGGAGTCGCCTCCTCCCCTGCACTCCGGGTGCCTGGACAGAACCCCCTGACCCAGGAATCGGGGAACAAAACAAAGAAAACATTCGCTAGCTACAAAACGGAGGCGTTGTCTGCTGACTAAGACGCACCTACTCGTGCTGGGAAAAGCCATGCTTACACTGTAAAGGTGTGTGGTGACTAAGTGTAAATAAAAAGTAACAGCATTTAAAAAGAAGAAATACCATATCCGATTGTGACAGACGTGAGCACTTACTCTCACCAGGGCGGACGACCGAGAAGCCAGTGTCTCACAGCTGCCATGGTCCGCAGTTAACCTCTGCACAGGTGGGCCAGACACCGGGCCAGCTCGCGGCACGCATCAGCACGCCCTGCAGTGTGTGTACTCGCTACTGGCACTCCTGCTCTCTGGGCCTGAGCGCATCAGGCTGCTCCCCGTCCCGTGAAAGACCTCGGGTCAGAGGCGACGGACTCATCCTTTGTGTGGGGACCTCTCATGCTGTGGGAGCTGGTGCTGGGATACACCCACCAGACCCCCAGACTAGGGGTTGCTAGATCAGGTTGACCCCTGGCTCTGGATGGCCCATCCTGCCTAAACTCCGCCAGCTCCATAAACCTGGAGCGCAGTCTGTCCCCGCTCCCTGGGACTCCACGGAAGACCTCTGGGGACCCTAGGCCAGATCACCATGGCTCTGACCTGCAGGGTCCTCAGAGACACCACAGGGCTCCGCGTCCCTAAGCTCCTCAAGGCCCTGTCCTCGTGACTCAGTGGTGCTCACAAGATGGAAAGAGCCAGCACTGCTCGTCAGAGCCAGGCCGCCCTCCTCTGCTTGATGAGCAGCCTCACAGTGACAACAGCAGCACATGCCTCGTGGCAGAGAGAAGGACTTCAATTGAATCCGAAGGTCTCTCACTGACACCTGCCCTGTGCTCGGAGACAGAGACACGACCTGAACCTTGAGTGGCAGGAAACACGCAGGGTGAATGCCAGCCATGAGGCCTTTTCCTGAGGGTGCTGGCCAGCTCGCATACCCAAGCAGAAGTGCTGCTTGCTAGACTGCAGGGTTAGAGACCAGCCTTCATGGCCAACGGAGCAGGTGGGCATTTAGGAGAGAGGCCTCCAAGAGGAGGGAGCCACTATGGCAGGGTACCCAAAGGCACCGGTCAAATTATCAGGTGCTTGCTAAACTGTACACGTGCAAGTCAGCCAAGACCCCAAGCAACACGCAGGGGCACCACTGGGAAGGCAGAGAATGAACGCATATCAAGACAGCGGCTCCACACTAGGGAAAAAGGAGAGGTCAAGTCCGCCGGAGTAGAGGGGCCTGAGCTTTCCACTGGGACCCAAGGCTGGGGCCACTTTGCAGGCCTAGAGGCCACAGTGGGCAGAAATGAAATACGTTCATCCAGATAGTGTCAAAAACAAGCAGTAGGACCTGTGCTGTAAATAGTTTCATTGCCAGCCAGGAAAATAATGTCCACCATGGCTCTGACCTGCAGGATCCCCAGAGATACCAGAGGACTCCAAACCCCTAAGCTCCTGGTAAAATAACATAATCCAGTGTCTACAATGTGCAATCTACCATGTCCAGAATATGGTGAAAATCATTCGACAAAAATATGAGGAAATGTGGGGCCAGCCAGTGGCATGGCGGTTAAGGTGGTGGGTCCCATGTGGCCGACTGTGCGCTTTGTGTCCTGGACCCGGTAGCTTGAAAAACACATTAATGCACGTGCACCCAAAATCCTGAATGGAGGAGAAGAGACTGTGGTGTGACCATTCCCCGAGAGGGATGCCTTCTCTCCCTCCCACCCCATGAGCACATGCACGCTCTGGCAAATTTAAAAGAAGGAAGGAAGGAAGGAAAGAGAAAGAGAGAGAGAAAATGTCATGCACAATCTAAAGAAGAACAACAGAAGCAGCCCCACCGATGACCCAGATATTGGAAATAGCAAAACAAAAATCTTCAAGATAATTTTTATAATTAGGTTAAGAACATACAGAAAAAGACGGATGTGATGGGTGAAAAGTTGAGGAATGGAAAGAACAGTAAGAAAACTTAATAAAATGAAATAAAATAAGAGTCCTAGAACAGAAAAACACAATAGCTAAACTTTTTAAGAAAATCATTTGCTGTTTTTTCTAGCAAAGGAAAGAATCAATAAACTTGAAGCAGATGAGCAGAAGCCCCCACCCAGCATACAGGGTGGGAATGAAACGGCTGTCATCAGGCACGGCTGAACACAAGAGCATGTGGCCTGACTTACACACAGCGAGTCTCAGGAGAAGACAGAACAAGCAGAAAAGCATGTGGAGATAACCTTGAAACGTATGGAAAACTACCACCGAAGATCGACGGAGCACGGCAAATTTCCAGATGGGATCAATAAAACAAAATGTGCACAGGCATATTAAAGTCAAACCATTAAACACCAAACAGAAAAGACAAGAAAAAAGCCTTGAAAGCCGCCGGAGGGCTCCGCGGGTGACAGCAGACTCACTATGGAAACAATGAAGGCCAGCGGAAAGTGGAACGGTGTTTTCACAGCCCTGTGGAAGGAAAAAAGGTCTAGTCCGGACAAATAAGTTTTTAAATGAAAGCGAAATGATGAGTTATTTCAGATAAACAAAGGCATATTTAAGGGGAACCAGCAGTTAGCGTAATGGCTATGTCGCTGGACTCCCACGTAGTTGACTGCGGTTCACGTCCCGGACCCGGTGGCTTAAAACTCACGCCGGGCGCATGGTCGTGCATGCCCAAGATCCCGAGAGGAGAATGGAGGAGAAGGGATTGCAACATGACCATCTTCCCTCGGGGGTGATGTCTCGCTTTCTGTCTCTATGTCTCTCTCTGTCTGTCTGGCGAGCGCACGCAACTTATAGCGAAAATCTCTCAAAAAAAAAAAAAAAAGCATATTTAAGGAAACTTTATAGCCAAAAGGAAAAGACACTAAATCCAAAATAAGGGATGCAAAGGATCTGTGAGAACTCTGAGTATATTGGAAAACTTGAAAGACTACTTCTCCAATTCTTCAAACGAAAACAAGTATTTAAATTTTAAAAATAGCACAGTGAGTGGCTTGTAAAATACAGAAAAGCACAATATATCACACAATAGCAAAACAAAGGTGCGCAAATGGAATCGTAAGGTTGGGCCTGCCTCCCAGTAAGTCATTTCATCGACACACAGGTCAATTGTAATACGCTAAGTATGCACGCTGTGCTCTCTACAGCAGTCTCCCAAATAGTAAGACAATATGTTATTCCCACAAAAAGCCTATAAAGAAAGTAGGAAAAAAAAAAAAAAAAAAGGACTCAGTCAGCCTAAAAGAAGTCAAGGAACAAAAAGGAAAAAGAAAAGACAGGACAAGTGATATGCAAAAAGCAAGATGGAGCCGGAGGCCCTGTGTGGTCACGACTGAGAAAGGCCGCAGAGGAGACAAGCCGTGCCTTTCCGTGTGTTTGTGGGAACGGCTGTGCTCTGGGAGGCTGCCTTCGTCCAGGGATTCCAGCTCCGAGCCCATGTTCGGAAGGATGGCCCGCACATGCGCCCAGCACGACAGACATTCTAGACAGAAGCTGGAGTCAACAGCTGCCCATTGACCTGGCCATACTAGGGTCCGGACGGACGGGAGGAGGAGTCTGCCAGGCTTCCACACCTGGTTCCCTCTCTGTGATGCCCACGGGTGTGCAATGGGACGGGAGCACTCTCCCCAGTCCACAGCTGAGCATGCAGGGTGGCTTCCATAGCGGAGTTCCACACCTTTTATACAATCCGTCTTTGTGTGCTTATTAAGAAGGAAGGTGGGGGAGGAAGGAGGAAGAATGAAAGGAAGGAAGAGCTCTGCTAGGCATGTGGGTGCCACCTGCTACTGTCTAGATAGGCCCGGGTCTCAGAGGGAGTGTGACACGGAAGGCACGCTCGCAGCAGCACGCTCTCCCCATCTTTCACAGGGGGAGCATCTGGCCGATGCGTGTGCCGAAGGAGGTATTCCCAGCAGCGTGGCCCTAACAGGACCCAAGTGCCCTCTCTCGAACACACACAGGACGGCGCTGGTGCCACTCTCCCTGCCCACTCCCCCACCTGTCCCATTCAGGTGCCACCCTGGGGACCTCTCCCCAGGCCCCTGGAAGGCCACGGCTCACCTGCAGGCAGTGTCGAGAACTCCACAAAGGCTTCCTTCTTCTCCCTTTGCTCCAGAGGGAGCTGCCATGGCATCTGGTGGGGCTTGGCCAGAACCTTCACCTTGTACGCCATGTTGGGCCTGAGGTTGAAGAACTGGTACTTGTACCTCGCAGCCTTGACGATGTCGAACTCCTCCTCATTGAGGAAGATGACGTGGCTGTAGTTGCTGTTGGTGGGCAGCCAGGAGAGCTGGGCGGAGATCTGCGTGATGTTGTCCACCCGCAGGTGCGAGGGGGCCACCACCACGTCCTTGCCCACCAGCAGCGTGCACTGCAGCTCATCTGAGCTCCCCCTGCTGGTCATGCACTGCACGGAGATGCGGTAGGTGCAGGCCGCCATGTTGAGCTTCTCGATCAGCGCCTTGGTCCTACTGCCCAGAGTGAGGCTCATGCGCGTCTCCTTGTCCACCAGGACGTTGTAGCTGCTCACGGTCCCCCACCCCGGTGGCACTGCCGGGGGTTCCCAGCCCACAATGACACTTTTGGCAAGTTGTTTGATAAGGGTGATTTTTCTAGGGTAAGGCACGATGTCTTCTCCAATGTCGTCAATGTTCATGTCCAGCGTCCCCGCCCCGTTGTCGGTAATGCCCGAGTCCACGTGAGTGGGGGAGTGGAGGTCGAGAATGCTCTCCCCCTCTAAGCCGATGCCGGAATGGTTAATGAAGTTCTGATCCTGCTCATCCCCCAACGTGCTGGCCAGCCGCGACTCACTGTCCTGTACAAAATCCACGAAGTTGGAGGGCACCAAGCCCCGCTGTCCGTCTAGGAGCTCTCCTGCTGGACACAGACAGGGTGTTCCCCACCATCCCATGGGAGCCCTGCACTCCCATGCATCCTCTGCACTTCCCGGACAGGACCTAATGGCCAAGCAGCAGAGCGTCCTGGGCACCCCGGCTCTTGACAAAAGCCACGCCCGCTGCCTAACAGAACATCCGCTATGCCCCTCTGGCACCGCGCTGGCTTCTATATGATAGCTATCCCCATCCCAAACTGTCACTCCTCTCCTGCGTGCTCTACTGCCGTCCCCACCCTACTCAGGTGACACTGCAGGGGGGGCTGCAACCTCCCGACTACAGAAGGTCCAGCCTGAGAGGGACACGGCAGGTACCCAGCAAATGCCCGCTAGAAGGAGAAGCCAGCATGGCAGATCTGTGGTGGTGGAGGCTAGGTAAAACCCTTCCACTATTTTTATTAAGTGATCACATGAACAGAAATTAAAAGGTGGTTTCTGTCCCCATACCTCCCCTTGTAAACACTGGGTCCACTTTCGTGGGTTCCCAGGGCATTCGATGTGAAGCAAAACTACCAAGTTGGCATCAGGACCGTTGGTTGAGTGACCAAAAGTTTATAGGAAAGAAAAGTAATCAAGTTTGCTCTGTGGTCGTGGTGGACGCGACAGGAGCCCCTTGTTGATGTGTAAAACAATCTAACTTCGTGCCCTTCCTTCGCAGGATTCAAATTCTGCCGCAGCCAAGCCCGGAAAACAGAAGTGTGTAGAGAAGCTAAAAGATTAGGCAGTTCGGGCCATCTCACAGCCCAGACCAGGAAGGGCAGGTCCCCCATGGAGTCACAGCACATCTGCAGAGAGGGGCCGATGGAGGTCACAGGACTCAGAGGGACTGCCAAGTGCTGAACCTGGACTCTGCTCCCAACAGACGCCCCTCCCACTGAGGGAGCTCTATGACGTGGCCCAGGGCCGGGCACGCGGACCACTCAGTCAGTCCTGAGTTCTGGCAGGCCAAATGCAGGCTCACATTCTGTTGCTGACTGCCAACTAGAGGGTGGGTTTCAGGGAGCGCATTCTTTGTCCTAGGATACTCTGAAAATATCCTCATTTTGACATGGAGAGATGGTGACAATGGTTATGGTAATGGTGATGACGACAGTGGTGGAAGTGGTGGTGGTGTGACAGTGAGGATACTGATGACAGTGATGCTGATATGATGGTGGTGACAGTACTGATGGTGGTGGTGTGATGATGGTGACAGTGAGGACACTGACGGTGTTGACGATGATGGGGTGACAGTGAGGATACTGATGATGATGGCAGTGGTGATGGTGGTGGTGGTGACAGTGGTAATGATGGCAGTGAGGGTGGTGGTGGTAATGATGGCAGTGAGTGGGGTGATAGTGGTGATGGTGGTGGTAGTGGTGATAATGACAATGGTGGTGATGTGATGGTGGTGGTGATCATGATGGTCATGGTGATGGTGGTGATGATGGTGATGACAGTAACGGTGGTGGTGGTGGTGATGAGGGTAGTGATGACGGTGATGGTGGTGGTGGTGATGTGATGGTGGTGGTGATCATGATGGTCATGGTGATGGTGGTGATGATGGTGATGACAGTAACGGTGGTGGTGGTGGTGATGAGGGTAGTGATGACGGTGATGGTGGTGGTGGTGATGTGATGGTGGTGGTGATCATGATGGTCATGGTGATGGTGGTGATGATGGTGATGACAGTAACGGTGGTGGTGGTGGTGATGAGGGTAGTGATGACGGTGATGGTGGTGGTGGTGATGTGATGGTGGTGGTGATCATGATGGTCATGGTGATGGTGGTGATGATGGTGATGACAGTAACGGTGGTGGTGGTGGTGATGAGGGTAGTGATGACGGTGATGGTGGTGGTGGTGATGTGATGGTGGTGGTGATCATGATGGTCATGGTGATGGTGGTGATGATGGTGATGACAGTAACGGTGGTGGTGGTGGTGATGAGGGTAGTGATGACGGTGATGGTGGTGGTGGTGATGTGATGGTGGTGGTGGTGATGACACTGGTGATGGTGGTGGTGATAACTAATATTTACTGAGCAGTTATTATGTGCCAGATCCTGTTTTAAGTACTTCGTAGTTATTACCTCATTTATCCTCATGGCCATGCCGTGAGATGAGTTCTATTACTACCTTAGGGAAACTGGCACAGAGATGTTAAATAAGTTGCCCACTGTCACCCAACAATGCAACCCTGAGTCTTGCACCTGCGCTGAGTCAGGTCTCAGGGAGGTCGGCTTCCCAGCCATTGCCTTAGGCTCAGATTTCTACACTGTGGGCCGATCAGGGGTGCCTAGGTGCAGACTGTATGCACTTACGCTAAGAACCCAAACTGGGGACCGGCAGATCGCGTAATAGTTATGTCACTGGACTCCCACGTGGTCAAGTGTGGTCCGAGTCCCAGACCCAGTGGCTTGAAATGCATGCCAGGTGCGTGCATGTGCCTAAGATCCTGGGAAGAGAATGAAGGAGAAGGGACTGCGGCGTGGCCAACCCCCAGGGGGATATCTCACCTTCCCTCTCACTATCTCTGCTCTCCAGCGAGCGCACACACACTAAGGCGAAAACCTCTAAGACATGCACCAGAGTGCACACACTGCTTTGCTCCCGGACAGGCCAAGCAAGTGGGTACTCACCCACAGGACTCCCGCTCCTGGCTGTCAGGCGAGGTGGCCTGACCTCACCCTGACGATGCCCTGAGAGCCCAGGGGGTTCTACGGGGAGTGAGTGACCAGGAGGACACGAGACCAGACTCCCAGTTAATAGCAGACCTCGGGCTGGCAGGGTCACCCTCGGTGGGTCCTGAGAGCCACTCTCATGGGAGGGCACCTGGAAGGAGTGCCAGCCCTGCCTGAGGGAAGCCCAGGGGCCAGGCCAGAGACATGAGGGCAGGAGACAGCCTTGGGAGAGAACAGGGCACCAGCCCAGGGCACCTGCAGAGGTCAACGTTACACAGCAGGGGTTGAGCTGCAGAGGTCACCCCGCGCTAAGGGGGAAACCCCGTCAGCTTTCCTGCCTGGCATCAGGTGGGGAGACGCAGAACCTCTGAAGAGGGGTCAGAGCAGTGGGCCGGGCCCCCGGTGCAACTCAGGACCCCGACTCGCCTCTCTGGATGCTGCACGAGCTAGTTCGCTGCCCAGTTTTGCCCCCACAGCCATGCCCGAGCAGAGACCTTCGTAGAAGCCGTCCTCATCCATGTCCCCGTAGACGTAGAGGTATTTCCCCGCCGTGAGGGGCAGCTCGGCCTCCGGGTTCTCGTTCGGCCCATCGAAGGGGTTATAGCTGGGGGAGCACAGCTTCGTTAGCGTCCGGGAGACCACCCGGAGCCCTCGGTCACTGCGCGGTGACGACCCACGCGGCAGCGCAGGGCTAGCGAGCTGGCCGGGGCTCTCAGCACACGGCACTGCCTGCAGCTCTTCCCAGGGGACGCAGGCTCTGCCGCATTTCCCAGTTCATGTTCCTATGCAGACGTGAAGACGAGTCACCCCACCCCACTGTTATTCACGTGTGGACATGTGTGTGCATGTGCACACGTGATTGGGGATGGGCTCACAGTGCAGCGTAGCCCCTGGCCATCTGCAGTGTCCTACGCCCCCCGCCATGAAGCTGGTCCCCACGTGACGGTCAGCAGAGTGGCCTGCACGGCAAGATGCGGACGGAGACAGATGGCGCCTCCAGCGGGTGTGGGCACGCTGCAGCACCGTCTCCCCGTGTCCACCTGTCAGAGTGCGGGTGCAGGCACACACGTGCTGGCGTGCTCAAGTCACCTGGACCAGGATTCGAACCATGGTCAGCATGCGGGATCCGGCTATGGGACTGCTGAGACGACGCCACATCCACCTTCTGGCGACGTCAGCAGCGCCACCCCCAACGCCGCCATGACCGTGAGCATGCGCCTTGGCCGCTGCTGTGTGCAACAGCCCAGACGTGGGCTCCTCCGCGCAAAGGCACACCGCGCCGGACCTCAGTGCCCTGATGCACCGCCGAGACACGGCAGGCCACAGCCTGTCCGCCCGCCCACTGAGAGGTAACGGTGCCTCGACAGTGCCACACGTGACGGTGACATCACGGCGTCACATGTATGGCAGCAACATAACTGTTACGTGCACGACAGGACGTGACAGTGCCACACATGCCGGTGACGGAGCAGCATTACGTGTAAGAGTGATGGAACCATGTGACACATGACAGTGCCATCACAGCGTTACATGTATGACTGATATCGCTGTGACATAACCACGTTCCATGCACGGCAGTGATGTCACAGTGTCACGTGTATGGTGATGGTGCATCATACGTGTGATGTTGGTGTTGCCATGCTACACGTGTGGTGGTGTAGCTGTGTTACGCACATGGCGGTGGTGGGACTGTGTTACATGTATGACAGTGGCATCACATGTCATATGTGTGCCACTGAGGAAACAGCATTACACGGTGATGTAGCCATGGTATGTGTACGGTGGTGACAGCTGTGTCACACATATGATAAAACCGTGTCACGTGTGCGACAGTGACATAACAGTGTCACTCACGTCATGTAAGTGTTACAGCTGTGGCAGTGTAACCATGACACGTGTGTGACTGGTGTGGCTGTTACATGCATGACGGTGATGTCACCGTGTCACACCTGTGGCAGTAACACATCAGTCTACCGTGGCAGCCCACAGAGTGCAGTCCCACCCTGACTGCCTGCAGCACCCCGCTGTCGGCCTGGCCCGGCCCGGCCCGGCCCACACGCCCACCTCCTCTCGGGGCCTGAGGGGCCCCATGTGCTCACACGCGCCCCCAGCCCACGCCGCCAGGCACACGCGTGCACGTGCAGGGCAGTGCCCTTACCTGTAGCGGGCCACACACAGGCGGACCTTCCCCGAGTAGCTCTGCTTGCAGGGGTTCGAGTTCCGCTCATTCTCCATCTGTGAAAGGCAGGGGCTCAGGGCGCTGCCGCACGAAGTCGGGTCGTGACGCCGGGACGACCCTCACAGTCTGACTGGGCACTCCGGACAGTACCCCGGACCGTGGAGCCCCGCCCTCAGCCCGTGCCTGAGCCCAGAGACAAGGCAGCCCCTCGAGGGGACGCGCAGAAGAGCCTGGACCAGGCGGGATGTGGGAGGCTCCCAATCCAGACGACAGGTGCGTCCTGGGCAGACCCTCGGTGGGCCTGGGGGAAACGAGAGATGCTGATCGTAGCTGTCCCCAGGACTCAGCCTGGGACGGGGACCCCCTTTCCCACCACGGAGTGCGGTGCCGGGAGGGCTGCATGGGAGAGGTGGCTGTGTCCTCCCGTCCAGCTGTTGCTCACAGAGCTCGGAGGTCACCATGGTCTGGGGTCGGGGAGGGGCTGCGGTCCCTTCTCACAGGCTAGGGCTGGGGCCGGCAGTGGCAGGGCCTGGCTGGCTCTTCTGTCCCTCCCACAGCACGCTCTCCACGGACCAGAGGTCCTTCCAGACAGGGCAGGCCACACCACTGCCCCACTCCCCGCAGACAAGAGAGCAGGGCGTCCCCGCCCAGCACCACTGCAAGCTGGGACCCCGGCCCCTTCGCATCAACACATGACACAGAGGGCCGACGACCCTCTGGGAGAGTCCTCGACCTTCTCAGGCCCCTCTGTTGTCACATGGCCTTACCATGCCCTCCCTGCAGCTCACCTCTCACCTTCCAAACGCTGGCGTGCTGATGCCCGTGCCCCGCCCCAACACCGCTGCATGGGAGAGGGGTGCCACTCCCTGGCACAGATGAGGTCAAGCAAGACTGCTCTGACACCAGGAGGAAGGGGAGGACAGGAAGGACTGTCCACTCCACAGGGACCCGGAGGCCAAGGGGACCCAAGGACAAGGGGCCCAGGAGGCAGAGAGAACCCAGGGGATCAGGGGGGGACCAGAAGGCAGGGGGGACCAGGGGGGACCAGGG